TAGAGCATGTGCTAGGACTAGAATTGCCGGGTATTGTATGTGCATTTACAGGTAACTATGTGTTATTATTCTCACTAACAAACTTTCCTGCCAATCCTCGGCTTCAGGCTTAAAAAAAAAAGCAGAGCAAGTTCGAGAACGACATCTGAAGAATGATACCGTTTCTGTTAAAAAAAAAAAAAAAAGTAATGGACACACTACAGCTGTGCGTTTTGATAAATGTAGATATATGTATGTTATAGTACAAGAACATTCTAGAAGGAAACACATTAAAATCATAACAGACATTACCTCTGGGGAAAGGCAGAGGGGCCTGGGGGTTAGGGATGGGAAAGGTAAAATGGATTCCAGCTTCCCTCGTGATAGTCTAATTTTTCAAAGGTGAGTGCATTCCAGCGTTACTGGCCTGTTTACAATTCCTCTTTAAAGTCTCATCAGGTAGGAGCCTTCTGCGAGAAAGTGTGTTCCCCAGCACCACACCCACTTTTCCACTCCTTGCCCCCACCCTCGCCACACCCGCACACCCACTGGGCCAGGTTCACGGGTGTTGTAAGAAAGTGTCCCAAAGCCCGCGCTCCCTTCACAACCCTCCCGGGGCCCAGAGCGAACCACACTGGCAGCGAGTCTTTGCAGAAAAAGTGATGTCAGCAAACAGCTGGTGGAAATGCCATTTTCTTCCAAAGGATCCCATGGATTTTAGCCCTTTCCTGAGGATTTTGAGAGCAAAGTACTTTCGAGTTTGGCACTAGCCAAACCAACAGAAAAGGCAGCTCCCCACGTTTCGTACCTGTCGAAAACCACTGCAGCGTAAGCAGGCTCGGCAAAGATGACATCCGCGGCACAGAACTCCTTGGTGGCCTTCAGACCCCGGCCTTTGCCTTCGGAAGTGAAGACCTCCACGTCCCCCATTTTCCCTACGGTCATCTCACAGGCTGCAGGCCGCACCCCGGGTTCCACACTGAGCCAGGCCTCTTGTCGCTGCTATTTTAGCACCTTCAGCATCCCAAAGAGCAAGCCTATAAATGGGCAAGCCACCTCCCCCTCCCCACCCCCTCTGGCTGCTGGGCCCTCACCTCCCCCGCTGCCACTTTTCCCGGAGGCAGGGATGGGGTGGACAAGAGGCCAGTGATGTGGGAAGGGCGTCACTCATCACCCAGCAATGCTGACAGAGCAGAAGATGCCCATGGGGTGGGGTGGCTCTGGGATTGGGTTGGAAAACTTGAAAAGTTCCCTTGCGAGAAGCAGCTGGGTCCTGGATGGCTGTCGTGTTCAGCTTTAGTTGGAATGGGAAGCACTTGTTCAGTGAGGTATTTTTAGCATCCAGATGCCTCTGTCAATCCAAAGTGGACGGCTGAATGGTCCAGGAGAAGAGGCGATGCCCGCTGCTCTGGGACCCTTCATCGGTCAGGCACACACTTTCTCAAGTGAGGCGGCCCCTCATCCCCCTGCTCCCTCCCCCATGGTGGACTTTTTTTTAGAGACCTAAAGGTGGGTAGCAGACACTGAACTATGCCTTTGGCATACACGTAACAGCACTATTTAGGCTCCAAGGGGCATCCCTCTTCTCCAGTATTACTTAGGGTTCCCACAGCACCCCCACCAGGGCATAGAGGTCTGGTAATTCCCTGATAATGCGTGTGTATTGGGTGCAGGCTGCATGAGAGGAGGCAAGCCTTGAAAATAAAAACCCTCATTTCTATCATTCTATCAAATCTCCCTTTAACTCATGTTTACTGCCAGGAAAATACCAATGTGCTCTGTGCTGAAGACACTGGAGAGACGATTCTAAAATCTCCAGTGAACTACATACCAACTCTCGCTCTGGTTGAAAAGAAAGACACTTGCAGATCTAGGGCTACGGCTTATCTTCCATGTAATATTTTTAGTTTCTGGGATGCATCTATTTCTGGGAACCCTGCTCTGGGTCTCGGTGAGTGTGGTCATTCTCAGGCACTAGCTTCTGAGTCAGATCTGCATTTGAATGCTGAGCCTACCAAGAGGACTTTGAGGTAGAAGTTGTAAAACAAGGATGGTAATTTCTACCTCTCTTCCATGATGTGAGGACACAGTGAGAAGTCTGCAACCCAGGAAAGGGCCTTCACCAGACCATGCTGGCACCCTGATCTAGGACATCCAGCTTCCAGAACTGTCAGAAATACATTTCCGCTGAGTGACAAGATCAAGGAAAAGGTACTTGTGCATATCTAGCACTCATATCCCAGGATGATAGAACCAGGTTTCCATTGTTAATAGTCCATTATACCTGTATAATTACATCACTGACAAAACTTTACACTCTCTCCGGTCTCTGTGTTCTTACTAAAATATCATGCTTGCTTCCATCTTTCTTCCTTTGGCTCCAAGAAATACTTAGCTACCAATTGCTTTCCTCCCCAAATTCCTAGATTCGTTCATTCCACATGCATTTATCAGTACACGTATCAGGAAACTATGCTCAGTAAGTGCCTTGATACAAAGATGAATAAAATGTGGGCTCTGTCTTCAAGACATTGACCATGTAGAGAGGAGTATGGAAAAGCATAAAGATAATGAGAGATACGGGAGGCAAAGGGAAAAGTGTATCCAGGGATGGCTTCAGAGAAGAAGTGGCCAACGAAGGTAAGTAGGGAAGGGGAGAACCACAACAGGAGACCATTTCAGGCCCAAGGACACAGCAGCATGAGCAAGATGTGGAGGTAAAGAAACAACATGACATGTGCAGACAACTACAATCTGTTAGGTATGGAGGGAGCTACAGGAACACATGTATTATACTTCTGTTTGTCATTCTGGGACCAGATTATTGCCATGTATGTCCTAGTGTTTCATATACATTTCAAAGCTATACTAACAGCAACAATAACCGTTTGAATGCTTAAAATTCTCCTGTACTTACAATACTTCATATCCTTTCACAACACTCTTTGAGGTGGGTATTACTGAGGCCTCCAAGTTAAAAAAAAATCTCCTAACTATAAACCCCAGAGAAACTCTCGCATACATGCATAAGGAGACGCCACAAGATCATTAGAGCAGCACTGACTATAAAAGCAAAAATGGGAAACAAGCTCAATGTCTATTGATACATGAGTAGATAGCTCATGGTAGTCATACAGTGGAGTGTTATAGAGCTATAAAAGTGAATGAATTAGAAACTCCTATCTCAGCATATATTAATATAAAAAATGGTGAGTGATAAAAGCAAATTGCAAAGGAATAAACAGTACGTATGTATAATAACATTTATGTAAAGTTTTAAATCATGCAAAGCAATACTTCATTTTACTTAGGGATACATACATACATAATAAAAGTTTAAGGAAATGCATGGGAATGAAATGCTGAATTCAGGATAATATTTACTTCTGAGGGAAGGAGAAGTTCATTAGAAAGTAGGGAGAGGACATTTCAGGAAGAGGGAGCAGCATATACAATAAGTTGAGTTTGTGCAATAGCTTGGTATTTACAGAAATCAGTAAAAGTTCAACTTTGCTGGATCATAAAGTGAAAGCAGGGTGGGAAGTAAAGGCAATAAGAAGATAATGAGATCAGGGAAGTGCACAGAAGCCTGGTAGTTTTCACTTTTGACTTTTCCAACAGACAGCGGGAGCCAGTAATAACTTCTAGATAGAGCCCTTTGGCAGCAATATGGGCGGTAGACTGGAGAGGCGAAGTCAGAGGAAGGATATCAGTTAGGCAGCTACTGCAGTGGTTCTAACAAAAGATGATAAGAAGCAGATGAGACAATTGGCAGTGTGACAGGAAAGGATACCCCAGAGGAACTTGCACAAGCACCAGGAGACATGCCCATCAAGAAAATGGGTAGAATGTTGTACAGCAATGAAATGAACAAATAACATACATACTACAGTGTGGATGAACCTCAAAATGTTGAGTGAAACAAGTCTCAGAACTGCATAGGGAAAGATATAAATCTTACGAAATTCAAAAACAATNATCAAGAAAATGGGTAGAATGTTGTACAGCAATGAAATGAACAAATAACACTTACATACTACAGTGTGGATGAACCTCAAAATGTTGAGTGAAACAAGTCCCAGAACTGCATAGGGAAAGATATAAATCTTACAAAATTCAAAAACTAAACTTTTTAAAGCTGCATGTATATGTGCTCAACGTGCATATGTAAGGAGATGATGACTACAAACCAGGGTAGTGATTTATTGGGGAGGTGGGAATAGGACGATGAGATTTGCGTGTGTATATGTACATACATGCATATATACACACATTTGACAGAGAGGAAGGGAGGGAGGGAGCGGGGAGTAGGGGAGGGAAAGAGAGAGAAAGGGAAAGAGAGTCATTTATGGACCAATGATGACAGCATCTCATGACCAAGGATTTTGTCATGCAAAGGAAAGAAAGATTAAGCAGGGNCATACATGCATATATACACACATTTGACAGAGAGGAAGGGAGGGAGGGAGAGAGAAAGGGAAAGAGAGTCATTTATGGACCAATGTTGACAGCATCTCATGACCAAGGATTTTGTCATGCAAAGGAAAGGAAGATTAAGCAGGAGATGATGTATTTTTCAGATGGTCTGGAGGTAGGATCCGTAGATTTCAGACTTTTCTTTTTTCTTAGTTGGTTTTAGATCCACTCTCAGAAAGGTGAGAGGCCCCAGGAGCCTGAGCGAGCCAGACCACAGGGGAGCTCCAGCCAGGCGGGGAAGGGGCGGGGCAAACGGGAGGGCGGGGCTAAAGGGGCTTTCTGGGCGGGGCCACCTGCGCAAGCGCAGTAGCGCGTCCCTCCGTCATGGCGTCGGCGCGGGCCAGTCAGCCGCCGACGGTGGCGGCAACTTCCCCTCAGGAGTCCCGGTCTCCGCCTCCTCCTCCCACCCCGTCTGCTCGGCGGCGGAGGCGGCGGTGGCGGCAGCGGTTGTCCTTGCCTCTCCGCCACCTCCACCTCGGCCTACCCCC